CTCCTCACTTCCCAAAAAGGCTCCTTATGTGCTAGGAATATCACTTCAGCAGGTTTTGGGTGTTTGGATAGCTTTCAAACTTGGTAAAATACTGTAGCTTTCTTTTAGTTTACATATGTGCAGTAAACTAAAGTCAGCAGCTGGATAGCTTCGCGCAAAAACAGGAAAAGTTAGCATGGGTCTGTCCAAAACTAGCAAAATCCACCTATCAGCTCCTCTAAAGTTCACGAATTAAATGCCATGTTTTATGTGTTTAATCTGTACAAAAACCAAAGTGCAACAGTGTCAAGGTTGTGTTTTATGGGGGGTCATCCTTATGTGCTAAGAATGTTGGCAGGTTTTTAGTGTTGGACTAATATATAGCTTTAAACAATGCTATATAATTTTGTTTTCTGTAGTAAAATGTCCTAAGAAAATACCAACTTAATACTCTTTCTCCTTGTTTATTATGAAGCTACAGCGAGTGGCTTATTAGCTTTCATAAAGACCATAGGGAAGCGGCCAGGCTATTTGTGTTCATAGTTAACTAATGTTATGAGCACCATCAATTTTACACCTTATATTCCATTAGTTTTATTTGTACAACAGGAGAAGAGTAAGGAGCACAACTGTAGTTTTACTACGGTTTATTAAGAGCAGTAATTTGCAATGAAAAACGTACATGTTAATAGGCGAGTTTACAGTACAGCGGCTGTTAGGTGGATTTTGTCACCTCTGGACAGAGCCAGCTGTTGTAACATTTTATGCTAAGATAAGCTATTCACACAGAGTCTCATATGTTTTATGCGAGGAACCCCACTGTTGGCAATGCTAGATTTGTGTTCAATTGCACTGTGCATGGGAAGATAGCCTTGAGAGTGAGGCCTATAATATATCACTCTCACACACACTCAATTTGGTTCATTTATTATGAATTATGGAGCTAGGAGAGCCCACCATGGGAAGCTGGAGTCATTTTAGTGGTGGCATTAGCCTGAACCCGAGCTGCTCCCTCTGGTCAGCACTTTGTCTCTTTGCACCCTGAGTCTGGTTGCTGTTCCTCCACTGAAACCTCTTCATAACATGAAATCTAATCTATATCTTTAATTCCTCTGACCTGTGGCTTTAACTGTGGGTTTGGAGAGAGGAGAGCCCAGGGAGCTCAGGGCCGTTTCCACAAGGTTAATGTTGAACCATAACCGCAGCCTCTCCCTCTCTGCCATCTTTGTTTTTTCTTGGTGTGGACCACAACGCTACTCTCCCCTACTGTCTGAGCTGTTGGTCATTTGTCTTCCCATCATCTCTTCAACCAACGAAACTAATACACACACATACATACAGAGTTCTCTGCAGCCACTGTTGCTATGGATGTTGGACAGCTCGGATGTGTCAGGAAATCTATACATGGGATTTAGTAGCCAGTCTGGGTCAAATGGACATTATTCTGGGGCCAGAAACCCACTGAAAGCACACATACCCAATACATTCACCTTGATCTGTCTTTAACCTTCTCCTCACACACACACACACACACAGAGAGAGAAACACCAGTGCTTAAACCAGACACACACACACACACACAGAAACACCAGTGCTTAAACCAAAGCTGAAGGCAGTGTAACAACATCAAACACTGACAGAGTTGTGGTGGGAGGAAATTGCTGCTCAACCTGGGTCTGGCGAGATGACATCAGAGGCATGGGTGGCAGAGAGGTTTCAGGGCCTGGGGGGAAAGGCGTTGGTGGGAGAGGACAGGACAAGACGAAGAGGAATCAGGCCGGCTGGGTAAGGATAGCTTCTATCATTAACAACCCTGACGTCATGGCATAACATGAGAAATGGCCCAGGAGAAGGTCTGGAACAGACTGGGGAAAGTTTGGGAATAAATTTACATGAATATAAGTGCTTTCCTTCCACTTTGGGATTGAGATATGAACTGAATCTAAGGTGAGACAAAGCAATTGATAGAAACGTGATCTTTAACCCACTGGTATTGGAGTTCAGATATTTTTATGCATGTGACACCAGTTTAATGGCACTTAATAAAATTCAGTGACTCCACAAATATGAACATCAGACTTCTGGTAATCCGGGTTTTCATTATATTAGACTCATACAATTCACAAATCCTACATGAATCTGGCATGCCTGCTTTCACAGAGTAACAAGATGAAAACTCCTGCCCCTTCACTGCCAGGACAAATATAACGTCCATATACTGCAAATGTAATTGATCCAACTCACTCTTGTTACGGCATTTTTCGAGTCAATACTCTCCTGATCCTGAGCATTCTGAGAGGAAAAAAAAAAAAACAGTTATAGTGCACTGAAGCACTTTTGAAAATGAGCTGTACAATTGATATCTTGTCAGCGTTGTATTATGTTCCTAATGATAATGACACATGACTTGCCCAGTGGTGGGGGAAATAGGCACTCAGGGTTTTTACATTTATATAGATGCATTGACATTGTGCTCTGCCACTGCAGCACTGTTGACAAAGTGGATAACTGATAGAAGCAGATGGGCCAGAATGGATTAGTGTGACTGGTGGTGCTATTATGCCATCTAGTGGTACTGTGAGGAGAACAGCTCTTCTCTGACAATTAACTAGTAGTTTCCTTCACCAACTCTTAGGAACAAGGCAGGTTTGAGGTAAATGTGACTTAATTGGACATCTATACTAGACCAATGTAACAGCATTTACATCCATCAACTTATAAAAGAAATTGTTTATGCAAAATAGTTCAAATTAGCTCAAGTATGGTGGGATTCTTCAGGTCACATAAGCAAACACATAAACATGAGCAATCCATATGCAATGAAAATATGAGTATTTATTTTACTCCATATGTGCTTTAGTGTGTGTCTGTCTGTTCAGAATGAACCTTTACTAGATTCAGTATCCTTCAAGCAAAAAGTGGAATGTGATCAGTTTGATTTTAGATCCATTTGATAAATACAGATGCACTGTCGTGAAACAATTAAAAGAAGAAAAAAAAAAACGCCTCACTTGACAACATACTCCAGTCAAGTTTAATACAGAAAAGTTAAAAAAGATCCACATGGAGGTGTCAAAGAAGAAATAACCATTATTGTAAAACAAGATTATTGTAGACAAAATATTTTCCAGAGAACGATAAACCCAGTACAGCATCGCTAATCCTGATAATCCCTTTTTCCCCCCCTCACAGACCTTTGGGAATAGTGGAATTTTACAATTCCATGGTTTTATGAAATGTAGAAATAAAGTGGCCGAGTGCCGTACTACTTCCTTTGAAATTACTTATCTCTTACAGATATGCTTGAGAAAATATACAACTTTGAAAAAAGAAACTTGAACATGTTTGAAGAAAGCCCTCTGATCAAGATTTGATTACAATATTTGTGTTTGCCGGTCAGTTTGTACTACAGTTAAAATATGAGAAAATTTAAGATGCTATAAACAGCACAAAAGTGCATCATTTTCTAAAGTAGAAAGGTGGAAAATACACCCATCTGCTAACTGTGCGTGCTTCCTCATTGACCCCTTCTCTCCACCTGTCAATCAGGGCGTCTGTAGCAGGCCTCCTGGTAGGAAGTAGTATTGAAAATGCTGAACATATCTCTCCTGACAAAAGACAGGAAGTTCTTCAGAGGGCAGAGGGGCTGGCTGGCGTGGCGGTCATGGGAGCGACAGAAGGTGGTGTAAAATGTCAAATCTTCACCGTTGTACAGCACCCTGATAAACAATTCTCCATCTTTTGCTTTTGACTTATCACCTTTGCCAACTCTCTTCTTTGGTTGCCCTGGCGTCATTGAGGGACCCTTCCAAAGTTCAAAGACTACTCTTGCTGCAAAACGTGGGAACCTGGCTTGCTCCAGTCCCAAGGCGCTGAGTAGGGGAGCCATTGTAACATCGTGGGCTGAGGAGAGAGTGAAGACCTCCTCGCCCCCCGCTCGAGGCTGCCTGCCTGCCTCACTGCCTTTAGCGACACGCTCCATCTTAGTGGCAGTTCGGTTGAGGTAGGGGTACATAGCCAAGACGGCATATTTATGATATAACCCTACTCTTCTCCGATCCACCTCATCATCTAGCTGCTGACGACGAATCACGGCAAACTGTGCCATAGTCAGACATCCACCGGTGCCACTATCTTCTGTGGGAACACATGGGAAAGAAAGGCCATGACACAGGTGGCACAGCAGGGAGTCTATAGGGTTTGCAGCTCTGAGCTGGCGGGTGGCCAGACCCAAAGTGCGTGCCATGTCAGTGTATGCCTTCTCCAGCTCAGTATCAGCCACTCGGAGCCGGTACTGCCTCCTCTGCTCCTCCTCCAGGTACCTGCTCCTGGCAGGGCAGTCACAGGCTGAGCCACAAAATAATGTGCTCCACTGGTGACGCACAGTCACCTTCGTCCAGTCAAAGTCTGGGAGGAAGCCGTAAAGGAAGGCGAGTCCACTCTGAAGAGTCCGGCTCTTACCTGTGGTCTCCACCCAAACCTGGCGTGGCAGCCAATCAAAGGACAGAAGATTATGACGCTTGTAGGCTTGGTGGAGGAGCTGCCCACTTTGTAGGTGCTGCACCACACCTGGAAAATGATGAAGACTAGATGAAGATTTGCTTGATATTTACTAACAAAAAGTGTCAAAGATGGACGGTTCCACTGCATGAAATAAGACAGTAACTTGTAAATATGTGTGATGTATAAAGAATCATTTGTAGAATTGATACTATACTACCTGCAAAGATATTTACAAAAGGGCTGTAAAGCAATTTGAAGTAGGCTGTACATAAATGAACATGTTCTGGTTGATGAGATCAAAAAAAAAAAGAAAACATTTGTTTCCTTGCCCACCTGTCTGTGTGAGCTCTCCCATCTCACAGACACCGTGGTTGGGCAGACGGGGAACAGAGCCCAGTGGTGACTCCCAGTGGCCACGTCCACCCTGGTCCATGTGACTGATGAAGGACTTCATCAGTGGGTGGGAAGGCTTCCTAAGGGCGGTAAACAATCAAAGAAGGTTACCGTGTTTCAGACAACTGCACTGCCTAATCAGCTAGTGTTAGTAGCAAATTTCAAAAGTTTGCACAATTTAGCTGTGAATGTTCACTTATCTTTCACAAAACCACTCTTGTATTAAAACTTGAGTTGAACGAGGTGTCCATTAATTGGTAGGGTTTCCATGTTCAGTATGTAACATGTGAAGTGCACTCCCTACATCTACCAGCAGGTGTCTCTCTAACACAACATTCACAGGCTGCAGTGCCTGTTCAATATGTGTGGGTGGGAATATGGGAGATGGAGATATAAAAAAAAAAGAAAAAAGAATTTGTTGCCTTGGGACACACACACAGGCATATATGCACACATATGCGAACGCACACACAAGCAAAGACACAAAAGGATGAGGGCAGCAAGAGGAGCAGCTGGGGATCCAATAGATTAGGGATGATTGAAGATTAGTTTAATATAACAAATCTGTGGGAGCTACAGCTCAGCTCAGTCAGATTAAAGGAGCACAGACACAGTTTCCATAGTGATGATGAACTGATTCAGGAGTATTCCATAAAAAAATGACCATCTGTCACTACCCTTAAATTATTCTCATGATAGTTGTAACTGGCTGAACACAGGAAACAACAATAGCCACCCAGCTACATTATGAAGGACAATCAGTTTTTTGTTTACCCCCCCAAATAAAAGCTGAGCACTACTCTAAATTCAGATCTCTTTTGAAAATACTATCCTAGATTTTCTGTTTTAATGGCATTATTTCATTTTGTTGTCATGCGTCAACAGCTGCTGTCACGATCTTTCCACTCTCTCTGTATTATCACAGTTTAATATTCGCTTATATAAAATATGTACTACAAGACCAAAAAAAAAAATATTCAATTGGTGAAATGAGTGAGATACTGTGCCCAACAACGCCCACATTCTGCACTGTCATCAGCAGATCTGTTTACTGAAGGGAGTTTTTAAAACAATCTAGATTTAATTGGCTATGCTGGGAGTCTGGATGTCAGCAGATTGGAACACTAGCGTGGACAACGAGCCAGCCAGGCTGTCTAGGCCGATTGTAGCTAATCAAAGATTATACAGCCCAATTACATTAAGCGGGATTATTACCACAGGATAGGACAGAGACAGAGACTAGTGAGGAGGGAGGATAGGATGGAGAGATGAGGAAAAAGGATAGATATGGGGGGGGGTAAACATAAAAGCAAATAGATGGTGTGGTCTAAATTAGGAAGTAAATGGGATAAATGATGAAGAAAAACACTGACAAAGACTCTATTGATGGAAGAAGAGAAAAGAGAGAGGAGATGTTCTCTGCTAAAGAGAGCTCAGTTAACCACAGACGGAGACAGTGGGTCGGCAAGCTGGTGCCAGCGCTCACACATGCACAAACACACGCGCGCACACACACACACACACACAGACGACTAAGCTCTCTGTAACGATCCAGCCCAGGGCATATGCTAGTCGAGATCCCTGTAATTACACTCTGGTCTAAATAAAAACAGAGCTACCTAACATTACTACCAGGACACACAAATGTGAAACTGGCTTTTAAATCTGCCTGCAAAACAAACAGATTCAAACCACAAATAATCCAAGAACACTTTGCAGCTGAGCCCATGCAGCCTCATCATGGTACCTCAGCAACATTAACTATCCAAAGCTTTCATGCAGTCTGCCAAAATAGTGTTTATTTGCTTTCTTCTGTTTGACTTGCTTGAAACTCTGCTTTTAAGTGATTAAATGGGGCTGATTAAATTAAACCATAAGAGCACTCCGTACACAAAGAAATGCAGAGAGGAGGTTAGATGGTGGATGTGACGTCACAAACATGAGAATTAATTAGGTAAAAGTTGGCACAAAAGATCAGCAGCCAAGACAAAGGATGAGTGATTTGTTCTGAAACATTAACCGTTACCTGATGTGATGTGAAATGTCTAGAGCTAAAGGGCATTGGACTAAATAACTGTTTAAACATATGCAAACATGAATAGTTTATTTCTTCTTATTTCTTCCTTATGGTCATTCCTGTTGTATAATTCATGGAATTCTTTTTCCTATAAAACAAGAATAGGCAGCCAAGTAGTCCTGTTTTCATTTCTGCCTCAGAGGACCCCGAGTTCCACCAAATATCGCTGCTCTGATCCTCTTTTCCAGCTGAATGGGTCGTCATCAGCTAATTCGGCACATGGAGAAAACCTGTTTAGCAGCAGCTCATCAGGAGTTGTACGGCAGAAGCTGAGCTCGGACTTACCATGGTGTTTCTTTGACAGCGTGCAACACATGGTTAATAATAACTCAGCATAAGATACTGATATTAAACCCTATTCACCATGCTGTATCCAGCACACATGAGACGTACACTCTGCCTTTTTATAAACGATTTTTATGTATCACACTGCTGAGCCATACAGTGATGCAATACAGTGTTAGAAAGCTTGAAATACAAAATGGAGACCTGTGTCAGTTGTGTTTAATCTAGACCTTGATGACTCTGACTTGGGTTAACGAGGACTTGACTCAGATTATTCTCTCTGGTGACTCGGACTCGAATATTAGGGACTCAAGAATCGACTCAGGCCCGAGGTTCAGTGACTCGACTACAACACTGGAGCCAAATAATGCAGCTGTAAACTACAACTGATGGCCACAGAAAGTAATGCTTATGCAGTGACACATTTGTGCTCATTTTAGTTTCAGTTTCTCACACATACAAAATGAAGGGGGAAAAAAGGATTTTTAAACAATGGATTACGAAAGCATCCTCCATCATAAGAGGCTTCTGTCAGGGTGGCCTACTTGTAGCTCGAGTTCAAGGATCAAGGGTATCCAAAGTGAATGTAATAATCAAATGTACATGGCAGATAAACTGCATCATACCAATCTAAAATGCAGCTGTGTGGAAACTGTTCCAGCTCTAAAGATTACAATGTGCCTGCTCTGTCCAGATGTGCACAGCTGATGTGGCTGCAGTAAAAGCCTTGTGCAAAAATAAGTCATTGCCTAAAGACAGGAATACAGCTCAGAGAAGGGGATTGGTCGCAGGGAATTTATTCACCATATGATCTCAATAAAATCATCCAAAGGGATGTGGGTGCACACATCAAAACCATCAGGCCAAACTACATTCGCTGAATTAATAAATAACTGTTTGTTATCATAGCAGGTGCATGTCTATGTATCCAGATGCTGGCTTTTAATATCAACCTATCAGGAACTCTCATCTATGCAACTCTCTTACAAGAACAGTAGAGTTAATGCGAGCTGAGACAAAGTGCCGACAGCAAAGGGAGAGAGAATGGAGGAAAATTTGTTTAAAAAAATGTATAATTAATCTGGGTGTCTGTGTGTTTTCCACCCACGTTTCTGCAGTGCTAACAGCCGCTCACTGTAGAGGTTGCTCAAATCAAGTGAGATAAGACTGACAACAGTTCTGTCTCAGAACGCATGCATATCCATCGGCACCATGCATTTAAAAAAAAAGCAGATGTAGCAAAACAAACACACTGACAATCGCTGATACATGCAATAATCCATGAAAACCAACAGGCTGTGAAAGTACATCTGCTATGGTATTGAATGAATCAGATATACATATCCTAAATATCAAATGTAATACAGATTCTTTACTGTTTCTTGTAAAAAGCAATCAAGTGTGAAAAGATGTTTTTTTGTTAAGTTATTAATGTTCTTTGATTGTTGTCTTCATAATATTACTTAATAAAAGTCCCCTTCCTACTCTTGTCTTCTATATCCATCCAGCAAACATTGCTTGATGCTATACTGTTTTCTCTTAAGGCTTTTTCTTAAGGAACATTGTCAAATGTCTTGTTTTGTCCAACTAACAATCCAATACCCCAAAAAATTCAATTTAATAATGTTTTAGTGAGAAATGTGTGCGTACTTGCTGATAGACAGGGTGCAGTCGATGGCAGGTCGTCTGGTCTTGGGGATGGAGTACAGTGGATAGCGGTCTCCATGACGAATCATCACCTGGACCGACAGCAGCTTGTAGTCAGCAGGGCTGTGACCTGTCACAGGAGACTCACATCAGCATCAACAGAAAAGTCCATATTACAATTATTAACTTTGTTTAATGCAGTTAAGTAAAATCAACACATTAGAGTTGTCCAAAAGAAAACCGACCGAGCTGTGTGTCCAGAAAAGGTTGCAATAAAAATCTGTCCTGTCTTTATTGGGGAGTCAGTACTTGAGTACTGTAATAAAGCTGTGTGATAAAACTAGATAACACTACACTCAGGGCAGACACTGGTTGATCCCACATATTTTACATGCATCACAAAAGGTGAGATCCTTTCAAAAACCACTATTTCATTCTTTCTTTGCTTGAGAAAATGCCAACAAGTTTTTTTCATTGCCTGCGAGTGTGAAGAAGTGACTACAGGCTGTGAGTATGTACCTAACAGTGAATTAGGAAGAGAAACCAGGGCACTTTGAAAGTGAGCATGTCACAGGGAAATAATAACCACCTTTATGAAATGAAAAGAAAAAAAAACACTAGTTTCTGACAGATATTCAATAACATCTAACCGTAACTTAAAGGACATCATGGGTTTTTCTTCTCTGGATACAAACTGCCAACCAGAGATAAACAGAGTGAAGTTCAACCACCAGTGGGTTGTACAACTTATCTCAGGTGGTGACAGATATTTCTATGGTCGCCTCCAGCCATACTAACTTTTTGGAAAAGGGGAAAAAAAAGAAAAAAAGACAACGCTCCATGCATGTTCCAGCATTAAGGGTGATGCAGTTTAGTGAAATCTGACATTATTACTGTATTAAGCATATAGTGTATATGCTGTCCATCAAATCAGCTGGTTCCAACAGTAAAACTGCTCTAAAGTTGTTTTTAACATTTTGAAATAGCGATGCTGCGATACTTGTAGCTGCATTGCTGTTGCTGGTTTCAGATCAGTTTAGATTTAAGTCTTTGAGAAACAGAAGTCATAGATCTAACCAAAGCATTAACTAAAGCCTTGCACTCTTTATTTAGAGTACATAAATTCTGTGTGTCATTTTACAGGTCTCACCCTCCCAGGCTTGTTCGGTGCGGTTGGGAGTATTGCAGTAGCCGTAGGCCTCAGATATGAGGCTGGGTTCCTCGGTGTGAGGCACTGGGAACACCCTCTTTCTGCTCTTCACCAGAGCAACACCAATGCCTCCACCTGCCGCCTGGAAGGGTCGCTCCTCCAATATGGGTGTGGTGGGGATCAGGTTCACTGCAGAAAGAGATAATAAATGCAACAAACAAGTATTATAAAAATGAGAAGGAACGTGGAGGCAAGAAGGAAACCTGTGTTTCACAACAACATACAGCAAGGGCCTTCTCATGTGCTTGCTATAGATTTGTCCACAGTGCCAATGATGATTTAAGAGAGCAATGACAGTTAATCATGTAAATACTCCAAAACCTGCTAAATGTACAGATGTAAGAAGGATTTGCAGGCAGTATGAAAAGTGAAAAAGTCAAAAGACAAGGTAGTGGGGAAAAAAAAAACAACATTTAGCCATACTTCATCTCCATATCAACAGCTCTATACCCCAAAAATCCTCACTGCCACCAGTGTGTTGCCTGGACACCAGTGACCTGCGACCTCTGGGAGAAATGGTCTAATAAGAGTAGAGGTGCTGTGGGAACTGGCAGACCCATTCACAAAGATCCAACTCTGAAGTGAAAGAAGTTGAACCCATATGCTCCTTGTGCGAGACGGATATCCAAATCCTGCCTATGCCACACCTGCTGAAGAGAGAGAAAGGGAGGCCCCTGGCTGTCTGATCATATAACAGAGCTAATGGTTTCACATTTCTGTAACAACCCTCAGACTTGTATCATCTACAAGTATTGTACGTTCACACAGTCTTTCTCGAGCATTCTCACACACACACGCACAGTTTTCAACGCATTCTTCATCCCAGTTAGGCTCATAAAAATGACAGAGTTGCAGATTTCATCTACTATTTTTTTCTTCACTCTCACATTCATGAGATTCAGTCGGTACAGAAGGTTTTCCACATTTTGTTTCAGACTTCTCTTAAAATGGGTTCAATTCATTCATTTTTTCCCTCAACCTACAGACAATGTTCCACAATCATAGAGAGAAAATAGGTTTTTCAAGTGTTTTGAAAATGTATTAAAAATAAAAGACTGAAGTATCCCATTTACATAAGTATTCAGACCCTTCACCTAGTACTTGGTTAAAGTACCTTTGGCAGCAATGACAGCCTCAAGTCTTCTTGAAAATGAAGCATCAAGTTTGGCTCGATTCTTCTCGGCAGAATCGTTCCAGGTCGGCCAGGTTGGATGGGGTGCGCTGATGCACGGCCATTTTCAAGTCTCTCCAGACTAATTTGTTAATTACTAAACTGCATGATGTTCTTCCACCTCCCAAGAAAGTGGCAGATTCTTTTCCAGGCCGATTTCTCATTGCCTGTCTTTGGGATGATCCTTTCATCCCCAGCATTCTCTGTGGGTTCTTGATCATGGAGGGCATTAGGGAGGGGCCCCTGGTGCTTGCATGCTTCATCCTCATGCTGTTTCTCAGGCTTATTGTCAGGCTTTTCACTTCTTGTGATTTTCTCAGCATTGAGCTCAGTGGAGAGCTGGAGGTTGAGTGAGGTTTGAATCTTGCACTGATTTCTCATCTCCCCCAGCTCTCTCTGATAGAGCATGTCCTTATTACCAGCTTTTTTCTGCATGATGATGATCTCCTCTGCCATCTTTTGACAGAGGGTGTCCTGTTCTGCTCCGGGAAACCCCAGTTTTTCCACAAGTACATCAAAATAGACATTAAAATACTATTTATGGAGAGGATCTGAACAGCTGTGTTTAGACTACCACACACAGTAACAAATGTGAGGGGATTTTTTTTTTTCCAAAAACAAAAAGAGCTCCAAAGGCTAAGAATAACCATCACTTTTTACAGTCTCAGCCATTTATTGATCCATTAAGAACTCGATATCATTGTGTAACGATACAAACAAAATGCAATAAAGTGGAATGGAAACAGACTTACTGAATAAATCATGAAGTACATAAAACTTAAATATCAACTGAGGCGTCAACTACAATGGAGAGACAAAATAGTGCAGCAGGTGAAAATATCACATCTGTGTGGAACCATGGAGAACTGACCTCACCGACTGTGTAGCTCAAGGAGCCCAGCTCCTAATGTCTGCACAACTGTATGGGATGTAACTGGAATACATTTGCATTCTTCTTTTGCAAGTTTTTGGACTATTTGGTTAAAATTTGTGCTAAAATTGGATGGAAACCTGAACTGATTCCTACAGTAAGTGCTGCATCCCAATCAGGACTAGTCATAAAACATCTCAGGACAGTTAAAGTGACTGAGGAGAGGAAACTTCATAATTAAACAGAGAAAACTAAACTGAGCACAAAAGCTCAGACTCAAGCTATAAAAACAAAAGTTCTATTAAGATCATTTCCAGCCAAATTCTCTTGAGGTTTAATTATTTTTTGGCTCTGGGAACTACAGCATAGCATAGCAAGATATCTTAAAACAATAGGAACATCCTTCCTCTTTCTAGATGTAGTAAGGTCTAAACTCACCACTGACAAGGAAGAATAAAAGATGTGCAGCGACAGCGGAGACCATTTTGACGACTGCTTGATAGCTTCAGGTCCAGCCACACACTAGAGCTCATTCATTACCACAACCTGTCCCTCTCTATGCTCTGTGCCCCATACACTGCCACCCCCCCACTTCCACATCAACACACGCCTGCCTGAACTAACCAACCCTTTTGGAGGCCAGCTCAGTCACAGTCGCCTAACACAATAGAGCTTTTGTAACTGGCTGCCCAACACTTCGAAGTGCATACACAGCAATGGCACACAGTGCATACTTCAGCACACATACACTTACAGCACGTCGCAAATTCATGCACCCACACTAAATGTGGTTGGAGTAATAAGCATTTAGGACTTAAACTGTGTTTCTAACTTTCCGTCCACCTACAATAGAGCTTGCAGATGCAGCAGGAAGCTGTCTGGGAGGGTTTTCAATAGACATGCCAGCTCAATTCGACAAATCTCTTACATTTCAGTGCTTACAGACTCCACATACAAATTAACATGCATGCATCCTTACATCCAAAACATAGAACATCCTGATAAATCCTCTACCTACATGTTGGTGTAAATGTGTGAATCATTATGCACACACAGATGCAGCTTCACTCTGGTTAGATGCTAAACTGTATTTCGTTGCCTTGTACTTGTACATGTGTAATGACAATAAAGTTGAATCTAATCTAATCTAACTTCTAGCTGAAGGCAGTGAGGACATTCTCTTCCTCAAAAATGCACACCAACAAATCTGTGCCACAGTGATTAGAGGGTGAACAGGCAATCACAGAATGTGATTTGGTCTTTAGCTATGAAGGTGCCCCCCCTTAGAGTACTTGACTCCAAAGTGTTCTGCACTGGTACCATTGTGGTAACCAAAGACCAGCGGAAAACATGTAAGAAATGCTGAGACAGACTAATTACTATGTGCTGATGAACATGGCTGCATGTAGATGTCCATATCAGACCTTCTTTTGTTACTTTTATATTATAGTGAGTGTGTGAGAAAGCCACACGCATAACAAAGGAGATGAAAAATCTTCGTTCAGGAGCACCAAGCTGTAGTTGTGGACAAACTTTTCATTTTCACAATCAGTCCACTGCCTGATAAAACCAAAATACAGGCCGATGACAACAGCTGCACTGTGAGATTGGCTGTTTTGACATTTAGAATGTATGATGAGAGAAAATTACCTTTCTCTGTTCCTTCACAATGCTTTAACACACATACAGAAAAAGATTTGTTTGAAGGTATAACTAAAGCAAAAATTAATGAGAAATACACTGATACACTGCTTAGGAACCGTGAAACAAAAAGAAGAAATTTGTGATGTCCATTTTGAAGGGGAAAAAAAAAAATTTGATTCATATTTTAACCAGAATCGTGCAGTCCTACCACCTAGTGGAGTATTTACGTCTCACAGCAAAGTGCATTTAACAAATTATTAACAGCAACTAGGCTATAAACCGTTCATCCACAACATCCCTGCAACCTACGCACCTATTTCACCTTTCATGCCCTTGAATGACATCACCTCTCACTGTGAATCTTCTGACTCTCCTACAGCACTTAACTCCCATCAAGCTCTGCTTCACTACTTTCCCTTCACTACTGCTAATGTCTCAGAATAGCTCCCTTTTAATGTTTCAGTCACTTCAGTTCCCACTACTGCAGATGTGCTTTGTAGGTGCTCTTCTCGGGGAGTCCCCTGTATGTCAATCATCATCACTGATCACACCTTTCAAAGCAGACCAAAATAGAGTGCAGACAACCAAGTAAACGATTTGAGAACAGCAGAAAAAAAAATAAAACAGAAGTTGACCATCTATTAAACATGAAGACAAATCCCATATGCTTTCATCCCATGCTTCTCTGGCTCAAATCCTTCTCCCTCTGTGATGAATAAATGATGACGGCAGCTTATCTTCAACATTACAACTGATAAGAAAATATAGAGAGAGAAGGTAGTTTAATTTAGAAGCCACTTAATTAAATAGGTTTCCAATACAGACAACAGGAGAGTATCAAGTCTGAGAGACAGGCACATATGCAACTACCTACACACTTTTTTTTGAGAAGTAGTTTCACTTATAGCGTCTTTCACTTCCTCTCAGCATTTTAAAACAGAGGAGATTATAGAGCAGGAGATGAGAGTAGGTTTGATAGCAAGGCATTAATAATAACTTACAGAGCAACCTCTTCTTACACAGTCAAGCACACATTATTGTTCAGATGAGGAAGAGGGTGGAAGGGAGAGGTGAGTGTGTACTTGGGGTCGCAAAGGGCAAACACAGGATAAGTAATTCTAATCTTGCATGACATTTTATATTAGCAAAAGAAAAGGAGAACAAAGTAGTAACAGCTTTCTGTATCCCAAGCGCACACATCTAAATTTATGAGCGTCTTTTTTTTAAAAAATAATAAATAAAATTAAAAAAAAAATTAAAAAAAAAGCTGACAAATGGCAGCTCAGAGCATTTTGGCAAAAACGCAGTCCAAAATACCAGCTCTGATGCACTGAACTCCACTGTAATCCTCTGTGCAAACATGATGAGAGCCTAATCTTATATGCTTTTCCAGACACAAGCTTACAATCACCAAAAACACTTCCACTGCATTGGGTTTTTCCA